TGAAGTTTCTAAAGAAGAGGAGAATGAAAATCAAATCGTTGTGGGTGAAATTGGAAAGGGCGAGGGGTTTAATATAGTTGGGGATTACAGAAAAAATTTGCCTCCTATTGATGATGTATGCCCAATTTGTTTCGATAGGTTCACCATTCCATGCAGAACTAATTGCGGTCATTGGTATTGTGGTAAGTTTTTGTTATCACCTACTTTTCTTTTTATTTGTTTTGAAGTGTCTATGATGAGTAACAAATGGTGTGATTAGCAATGTTTAAGTAGCTTAAAAGTAGCAGTAACTTAGTGATTTTTGACTTTTATCAATGATTCATTCACGACACTACTAAAACGTTGCTTTTGGATCCGTGTGGATAATTTTTTGAGAGTGCTTCGAGTGAGACTAACAGTTGTTTTCAAATATGGTTAAATAAGTTTTTGGTAGCTCTTTCTTTGCCTTGAAGAGCTTTTGGAGATAGTCGATCTCATGAAGCTTTCGAGGGCTCTTCTACAATCAGCGAAAGTCCTACCAAACGATCCTAATTTCTCTTGGTAGTTTGTTTCCCTCGTTTTTGATTGTGTATAAGCACGCCGTTTTTGTGTATATGACATTTACTTAATGATTTATTCCTGAGGTTTTCAAGAAAATAATGTGTAGGCAACACATGAATAATTAAATAGAACAATTTTCAAGAAACGAAACTATCATAGAGTATTCCCTCTAGTGCTTGTGCATGTTTATTAGGCCACTGTTTGACCCTTAATAAAATTATAATTCATTTTTCTATCTCTTCTTATCAACCACACATTCTTCAATAAAATAATATTACACGTAATCCCAAAAAAATTTCTTCCTTTTTAACCGCACATTCTTTTAAAAAACACTATTCCAACTAAAATTTCAAATTTCAAGGAATTGGATTGTAGTGGATGGTATTAAAAAAGGAAAATAAGAAAATAAAAATTGTATTAGTTATAGAGTCCAGTCTTGTAGAATATTGTACACCGGGTATACATAGTAAATTAGTAATGAGTAATGGTTTTACATGATATCTGTGTGAGCTGCTAGTATATTTTTCAATGCAATAAAGAAACACATGTGTACCATTTTTGGTGACTTTTGTAATTAAACTAGATGTATGTTAAAGAACCTGATAAAAGTATTGGATCCTTGCTGGATTTTTGGAGTTCGAAAAATCTCTAGAGTTTCTTTATCCGGATTTTGAGCCTTTCTCAGGATCTATTATGAACAGTCATTAACTGAGACTAATGCTAAATATGGAAGGTGAAAACTGCATAATATTTTCCTCATCTCTTTCTTACTCTCTGCTTCTACTTTTTCAGCCAGTTGCATATTGGAGTTTTGGGCGTTTAGATCGTCTATCCGACCATGCAAATGTCCACTGTGTTCTTGTCACATTACTAACTTGGTTCCCACGATATCTCGGCTTATTGGACAGGACGAGGATGTCATTGTCGTCGTCCAGAAAGTTCGGCAGTATAATAGCCTCTATATTGGTGGATTTTGTGGCTTTTTCCTGGTAAGTTAATTTGTTGGTGCTTGCATTATTATAACGTTATCATTGAGCCTACAGATTGTTTTGAATCTCTTTTCTATCCATTCTTGTTTCTCTGTGTTATTATTGTTGGAATGTGGAAGCGGAATTATCCAGAAATTAAAAATTTCTTTAATTCAATAAGCAAGATCTTCTAGATGTTCACGTATATGTTATATCAAAATAAAGAATTTGAATTTTTACCTAAATTCGATGATCAATATTTGAATTAATTCTGTATCACGAACTTCTAAGTTTTTAGATCACGAACTTTCAGCCTTTTAATTTCAAGAACTTGATGCTTCAAACCTTCAAGTCTTTTATGATATTTTTCAAAGTCAAGGCTACACCGGTGGGTGGGCACCTTTTTTTAATCAAATCAAGAAACTAATTCTTGAACTGGACAATTGAAAAATGAAGAAAAATAATTTTTCTCTCTCCAAAATTTGAACATCATGAAATTATGTATGATGAATGTTGTACAATTCCACTCCATAGGATGTCTAGGATCCATCTAATCTCT